GTGAAACATCTGTATGTACTTTTGCTCTGGCAAAAACATCACTTGATTTTAGCGAGTTGTAAGATGTGTTAAAAGTTGAATGGTCGTCTGTGACTCGGATATTATGTGTAGGTCTGGGATTTTCATGCCCTAAAAATAATGCATTTATCCCACCATACTCTTGAAAATTTTCCTCCAAAAGTGATCCAAAAAGTTATTATCTTTGTGATATAATATTTCTCTGATAAGTGAAGACAAGTACTCGTGAGTGAAATATTTAGTATAAATTGTGGAGAAAAAATCAATTTAGAATCTAAATCAATAATCTATTCTTACTGTTGAATGCAATTAAAGCTGAATTCTTAGGCTGGAAAGGTCGTTCTGAATACTGGTAGTGGGTCAGTAGTTTCTAGAGCAAAACCAATCAAACCCTTAGGCAAACCCAGCTACTAGATTGCACCATTACTAATACACATGTGCTGCAAAGATTTTTTGCGATCGATTTTTCAAAATGATCACAATTATAAGACTTTTATATATTGCAAAAGTGCATGCAGGGTAGAATATTTTTTTAAAACATGTCACTTTTCATAATTTTTCGTAAATGAAAATTTTTCTTTTCACAAAACATTCTGATTCAATAAGTAATTGAACATGTAATAAGTATTTCTCAAAAGTTATCAACGCAAAAGTGGTAGAAAGGGTGTGAAAAGATACAAAATCGTCAATATCCCACTCGTAGTTCGCAAGACGTCATACCACTCAATATAAAATGTGAAATGTAAATTATGCTGATGAATATAATTGCTTTAAATATTTCTAATTAAAGCTTACAACATTTTGTATTTCGTAATTCTATACATTTATAAATTAATTTAACTTTTTAAACTTTATTGTAATAGGCTCGTAAGAACAAAATTGAGATTTTCAGTGACAGGTGATTTAAATTTTCTCAAAGAGAAAAGCGTGCGATCCGTACGAAGATAGGAAGCTGGTTTATTCAAATAAAAAAAATGGGAGTTGGTTTATTCAAACTTCATGAAAACAAGCAAGAAAAGTTTTTCAATCCGTGCTGTAAGAGAGCACATTGACTACTTAATTGACTTGTACAATAAAGATGATAAGGCCATATTAAGAAAATCAAAGACTGAAGAGGAATATGGCGAGAGAGGGTGAGAGAGAGGGACAGACAGACAGACAGTTTCTACGAAAACTTTCCTCTTAAAAAAATTAATTTTACAAAAAAAACATCAAAAAGATAAAGAAAAATTAAGCTTAGAAAGTTGTGAACATTAGAAACAAGGGAGTAGTTTCTCTGAGTGAGAGTTTGATGATAGACAGTGAGTCCGAGATGAAACATGAAGTATTTAAACTTGATGTGCAGGTTTGCTTGATGTTGGAGAACTGGGTGAACACCCGACTACCACACCTATGTTCACTCCCATCAGCTATGAAAGAGAGGAAACGGAAATTTTGAGCCAACGCCCAGTACGTCTCAACCACGATATAAAATGGGAGGAAAAAACTCCTTGGTGCTAAAATGCTAAAACAAAACAAAGAGAGGGATTTTCAGTTGGAGCAAAGAAAGCTGCATTTAAAGCAGCAGAACATAGATTTGGAGAAAAGAAAAAGAAAAGTTTAAAAAGCTATGCAAGATGCATGAAAACCAATATAAAACTATTAAAAATAACTCAAAAGCTGTTAGGGAAATAAATGTAAAAAATCACATAATGTATCACCAATGATGTTTTTTTATCTCTTTAAAATTAAAAGCTACATTTTTAGTGGTATCTATTTGTGTCTCTACTTCAAGTACTCATCCAACGTAAATGATTCAGTTTTAAAATATTGGGCCTTGTAATTACCGTATAAGCAAGATGGCAAATTGTTGAAATTGCAGCAGCTTTGTACATACTGAAAATGTCTTGCAATAAAAGTTTTTTTGTTCTGTTTAAAATCTACAAAAGCAAATTTAGAAATAATTTTCGGAAATCCCCATTCAACTGGTTGACGAACTGAGGTCATTGATTTGCTGATTGTTTGTAAGCCTACTGAAGCGGAACCTCAAATCAAGCAGCTGGTGATTGGATATGCAGGATGTCCATGAATATCTTTTTTTTTCTTTTCCCTGCATCGGGAGCTGGCCCAGAGCGAAGGCACTCGCCTTTCACCAAGGAGCTCCGGATTCGGTTCCCGGACAATCTCATGAGTCTGCCTGCTTCACAAGGCTAGCGTCCTAATTCTTTCCTAATTCTGGCCGCTGGGTAGTGACGCAGGAGCGCGTGGTAGGAGGCGCGTGTCCACGGAGATTCTACCTGGTGGTTCTCTTCACAACTTCTGACACGACTTACGGGCTACAGACTATAATATAAAAGTAATTTAACGGAGGATTACTCTACGCAAGGGAAAATAGTAAGTTAACGGAGGATTACTGCTTACGCCAGGTTCTTGGCTTGCCAGCATGACTGAACGTTGTCACAGAACAGTGACAAAAAAAAGAGTCACGTTGCTTCCGACGAACATGTAATGCAGCAGCCATCTTAAACGAGTGCTACGAGAGCAACACTTGTGGAAACAGGTAGAACTAAATTTGAATTCAAGCGAGAAGAATCACACTACGAACTCTGTGGAGAGCAAATAAGTAGAAAAGAAAATGAATAAAAAATGATATGCATTACTTTTGGAATGACCTTCTATCATAACGGTGCCGCAAAAAGCTCCACAAGCTGTTGAGAGTCGCTGCGACTTCGTCGCTGGCTGCACTGGGAGACTCAGGGAAAATCAGTTTACTGTCTTTCTCTAATATAACGGTATATTATACATGTATTACATTATCTGCGCGTTATCAACGGTACACAAATTTAAAGCATTTTTTACGATATTCAGTAGATTATTTATTATGTTTGACAAATTATTTTTAATGTTATATGTTGATTATGCTGTTGATCAGCCTCTTTGCGTGCACTTCTTTCCATGCAGTCATTTTGCTTCGTGACACATACGAGTATGTGTGAGAATTTGGACCAATTTTTTTTAGCTTCATTGTTGGAGTTATCGACGCTCCTGTTCATGTAGTGGAATTGATAAATCATAGTGAAGATAATAAAGGTTAAATATTTATTTCCCCGTTATTGGACAATGTATTCAATAGAAAATCATTTTGAGTCATGCCATATTGAAAATTATCTAGAAATTAAGAGACATAGAAAGCCAACCCCGCGTCTTCAAAATTTTATTGAAATGTGAACTCATAAAAAGCAGCATTTGATCGAAAATTTAAGATTTTTCAAACTTAATACAAATGGTTATGTTGGTGTGATTTGAAGACAACTTTATTTTGTTTCCTCAATAAATGGCGTGAAGAACATGGTTAAAGACTGGGTTTAAAATATAACGAATAGCAAACCAAATCCATTCTAGTCATAATGTTTAAAGATTTAAACCACATAGTAGAAAGTTCGAAAAAACATTACGCTTCTGAAAATTACATAGAAGTGTTGACAGCAACCATTATTTCACACTTCCCGTACAATAGACCTATAAGACACCAAAGATTTATTTAAATTACATTTTAATCATTTGACTGAGCTGCAATCCCCAGTTTTGGGTGGCACCAGCCGCCAATGTTTGAAATACAAGATTACCTATAATGTCGCAAAAGTACTCGCGGTATTTTTCTCGTTATGTCACCAAACACTGGTACAAAAAGGTCTTATGTAAAAACAACTGTCAATATCGCCCGCAAAATCTTTCCGGTAACTTATTGCCCCATGTGGTCAATACTAGTGTAAAAGTGCCTTTATGAAGAAAAAAATTCAGGAAGTTGTTGCGGAAACTTACTGCTAGTGTACAGCCAGCTTTAGTAGAATACTATTTACAATACTATATTACATAACCGTTTCCAATAATAGCTGTTGTAGCACAGCTAGTTTGTACGAGGGACAGACCTCCAATCCAAAACACGAAATGGTTAGCTAGTCCGCAATAAATTTTATTTGATATTTAGAAAGCAACGTAATTGTTTCCAGAAATACTTTCAATTTTAAGGAATTCTGAGTGTACTAGTAAATTAAATGAAATGATTGAAAGTTCAGCACAGAATGTTGCGAGTAGGAGACAACTATTACCATTGCCTTTGTTCAAAATCCGTATGAAATGAGACTTATTAAAATAATAGTAGTAATATGTAGATCGCTCATTGGCTTTTTGAATAGTGAAATAATTAGGACAGTGATTAGGTTTAGGACACTTGACACGGGTTGGACTAGACCCTGTGAAGCAGTCAAACTCGTTTTGTCGCAACCTATTTCACATGAGATTGTCCGAGAATCGAACCCGGACTTCCAAGCGCCTTTCGTTCTGAGCCACGAGCTGGCTCATTTTAAAAATACAAAACTTTTTTTAAACCCTTTGTACTTCAGTACTGAAGATTTAACCTGCTTAGGGTTTAGAGGATGTTTGCAATCGTCTTCTCTTTGAGCCGGTTTCCGGCCTCTCCCCACTTCCATGGCCCTCTGTACAAAGAATGTAATGGGTTTCTCTGTTGGTCGTATGTCTAGAAGTGGAGGGAAATTGGCGTGGCGTGGTAAACGTCATGCTTCAACCAGATACTTTTCCCCCAATAATTAATGTTAATAAAGCCAGTAAATATCAGTTTTCGTGCAGATTATCATACGTTTTCTGTACAGAAACTTCAAGATCCCAAACTGGAAGATAAAAACCAACAGTCGCTCGCTCTGTACGTATTCTGCATGGATTCTGTATGACACGCCGGTTCTGCCGCTAGAGGCGCTTGTGTGAAACGTAAGCTTTCTGCATGAAAGAAATACAACATGCTCAAAAGTCTTCATCCAGAAATCGCGCAGTCTGAACTGCACATTTTATGTAGGTCCAATCTGCACGAAAACTGTACCGTGTATTCTGGGCTTAACGTTTTTAATATCATTTTATATTAACATATAATCCTTAGCTATAAATAAGCGGTTAGGATAAGGAATAAAATGAATGGAGAAAGGCTGACGTGAGTGCATTTTCACTTTATTTTATTTTAAATTCATTAAATTGACACTGGAAGCGTCGTTATTCCGCGCTGCGCCCAAACCGCATGTGTCCGTAGTCGTCGAAGGGCTCCCGCTTCCCGAACCTCATGTGGCCGTAGTCGTCCGACTGCCTCTTGCTCATCTCGCCGAGCTCCTCGTCGTCGACGACGAAGTCTCCCAGGAGGCCTTGGACGGCGGCGTCGTCGGCGACTGCGAGGCGGGCGCGGAGCAGCTGCGGAGCCACGGGCGGCGCGCGTCGCCCCAGCACGAGGGCCCGGCCCCGCAGCGCGCCCCCGGCGCCGCCCCCCGCGCCGCCCCCCGCGCCGCCCTCCGAAGGCGGCAGCGGCAGCGCGTGCCCGCTCACCTGCGAAACCACGGGGCAAGGGAATCACTTTGCGGCCACCACACGCTTCTTTGGTATTATATATTTTTCATTAATCTCCATTATTTTCTCTTTAAATTGGCGATTGAAATAAGTTGATACTACCATTCTTTGTGAAGTCCTCCTTTCATTGGGCTTAAGTGCTGGCTCCAATGCATTTAGATATGGTTACATAATTCAGCACATATACATGTCAGTCACGTAACTTTAACAACCAAAACTTATTTTTATCCTTTTATTTGTACGTGACAAAACAATATATTACTCATTGAAGTATATGGAACTCATATAATTAATATGGAAGTGAGATGGGAAAATACCACCTGTTTTATCATCTTTAAAACATCGATGTTTTCATCGACATCGAAAACCTTTGGTGACGTAAAATTTGCCATCACTTGGCTCACCGCGTGGTGCTGGTGGTGCACGAGGAGGTAGACGCTCACCACGAAGAACGCCGCCGTCAGCATGCTGCAGCCCATGCCTTCCACTGCGCAAACACAGCACGATCATCCACACGCTCGGAATACTCCTTCATAATGTTAAGCTTTATTACACGAGTTCGTGCACTTGTTTTACAAACGAGCGACGGTAGGGGCGATAAAGAAACATTATAAACGAGTTGCATACGTTCTTTTTTTATAACAGCATTATACATTAAGAAAAGAATTAAACTGAATTTTGCGAAACAACTTTCTTGGGATGACATTGTGCGAGAAAAAGGTGGTTGGGTGTACCGTTCACCGCTATCTCCCCACGATTCTCTCGCTGCGATTGGCTGAATGTGTGATGACGCAATCATTCGTGTCGTAAATGCTAATGCGTAATTATTCGTGCCGTAAAAGACCTTTTTATCAACGATTTCTTGCAAAATTAAAAATCGTTTATAATACTAGTGTAGAAAGAAGTTTATTTTCATTACCTCCATTTATGGCAACAATGTGGGAAGTGGTATTAGTCCTGAGACACCCACTACAGCTCTTTCGTCATTTTTAAGTATAGGCTGGTATTTATTTGTTAATTTGAAACTTTTATGGACCTCTTATTATTTATTGACAGTTTCGAAGAATGGCGGTCCCCATCTCCTCCACGAAAAAAATTATATTGATTTAATAAGAATGGTTTCAATTATTTTATTAATATGTTAAACATTTCCAAGAATTACATGAATTTTGTACATATTTATTCAACAATGCAATGTGTAATAAGACTGTCTATAAATAATATGACACCAATTCTATTTCCCCCATCTCGAAAAGGTTTTTGTCCAGTTTCCCTGATCCATTGAGGAAAAGCTGAGATGATCCCTTGTTTTGCTTCTGGACGTAAATGTAGCTTCACTATGCGTAAGTTTTGTTGAACTCTCCTGTTGCTTGTAATGTTAGAAGAAGAGGTAAGGGCGATGGGTACAATTTTGATAGGAATGCAGAAAAATCATACTAGCAATTCGTTTACCAATGCAAATAAGTTTTCTATAACTCGGAAGCGGAAATGTTAATTTTTTTCAAATATTGCTAATTTTGCGATTTTTTAAAATTTATTTTTCTTTATTTATGTTAAACTTTTCCTCATATTTCAACCACTTATAGTTAAAATGACGCGAAGGGATTTTTGAACTCAAGAAAACGTGCGCAGATAAATCTCCCCCAAACGTCACATACAGTTTTTACTGTTTTTTGACTAAATAAATCTAAATATTTTTAATATATCTCTTTCATGAATTCAATCTTCTATGAATAATACTTTGAATGAATAATTCTTTTTTTAAATACATACAATTATTTTAATTTCTCGAATATTTTTCAAGACAAGGCATATACTAACCCCGGTCCTTTTAACTAAGGCTTCTCACCATTCTGTTACAAAAATTACGGGTGTAATGGAGGACTTGACCAAGAACACCTAGTGATGCAACACCTGTTTCGTAAGTTACATAATGGCACTAGGGAAGGCAAGAAACAACATTTGAAAGGCTTCTTCACACTTCTTTGCCCCGCTTCTTTGCATCGTCATCCCTTTCCTGTACAAACGGCAGGCGCTAAAGAACAGCTTACAAATGATATTTTATGTTCATTTTCGTGCATATTTGAAGGGGAAAAAAAGGCGTACACAATGGGAGCTGGACTAACTTCTAACCAATGTCCGTATTATACATAAGTATATGGATCTTGGACCATATACTAATACATATCTCTATACATATGTATATAGATCTTGCTTCTAACTTTTCGCACCATGCATATCTTCCATTCCCTAAATTGAATGTAGCAGTCTGTAAGCATATTTTATAGTATTGTTCCAAATTGTTTACAATTGCAAGGAACATACGTATATTATGATTAAATAAATTATTTCTATTAGCAATTTCTTAGCATTTTGAATACGTGGAATGTCAAAAAATAGTGGTTTAAAAAGAACATTTGAAATTTTTCAAGCCTGTTCCAAGGTTCTAAGACAGTGGAAATTATTTTTTGTTATTTAAAAGAAATCTTTGCGTTTGAATTTTGCGCTGAGAAAATGTTTTTCTGACAGTATAAATTATTTTGTTATTTTTTATATTTTTTTTTTCAATCACAGAAAATAGTGTTAACTTGACGGAAAAAATAAAATAAATAAACACGTTTTTGCCTGTAGACGGATGTGGTTGGTGGGACAGGGGCTAAGAAATATTATGTGTATGTTAGAATTATAGTGTAACCACTCATATTCCATTTGGTTATGGGAACTTTTTTACCATCTTATGCGGGGGGACCTTTGTCCCCCAATAATAGATCCGAAATTCCACCTCTGGTTATGGATGAATTATCTACTCTTTGTTTATGATGTGTTTTATTCGCAACATTGTAATATACTTTGTAGAGAGATTTTTCACAGATAAGTAAAACTCGTGTAAGAATTCAAAGAAACGAACTCGATTTATTTGTGAGCAAATCAGATCCAGTCCTAGGGTATCTTGGAAGATCGACAAAAGCATCAAACTAATTGAATTTCAAATCAATTTGCTGTAAAATGTAACAAAATGGTCCTGCCTGGGCTTCTAAATATTACATGCGTCAAATATGTAAATGGCAACTGTTTCTTGGTTCCGATTTGAAGAAGTGTTTAAAAATTTTCCACGACTGCTTTAGGACAGTCTGAGTAAATACGATTGAGTTCAGTCAATTTCACCTGTACAAATAGTAGCTTTTGTTCTAGGTGTCAGAATGCAGAGCAAACTTCATGTCACTCAGGAAGTGGCGAAGTTACGTAGGAAGGCATTTCTTAAGATATTTTTCTCTGCAACCCTGACGGAATAAGTATCTGATTTGCGTTCGACCCGAATGATACTCACAAGTTGATCAAAAGTATTTATTGAGCAAACGGTATGTGTGTCGATACATTGATATGAACAGCGAGGTTTTTTAAAGCCAGTTTAGCGGCCTGTTGAGACTAACTTAAATAATAGTATTTCGTTTCATGAATACATTACGTGCAGAAACTAGCGGTGCTGCAACAGCATGTAAGTTCTCGCTATGGAATATTATAATAGTCCATGATCCTGCAAAAGTGTTTCCAGCACTTTTTTCTCGCCCAGGGAAACTCAAGTATAGTTTAGAAGTTAGCAAGTGATTCACGTTACGTCTATACCACCAGCTTTACAGTTAAACTCATTCCTTACACTTAAAAAAATATTGAACATTTGCAGTTTTCGAACATTCAGAAATTTTAATTTACATTATGAAAATAACTAGTTTTAAAGAACAGATTTTAGCAAATGAAAAAATAATAATAATCAATCATCTATTTTTGCATTTTTAATTTTTTGCAATTTAAATAAAATACAAATTTCGTTGAAAATGAAACCTGCACTATTTCTATGTACTTTCTCGTCCTTACGAACGTAATAAGAGAAAATATTGTAATCATGCGCTTCAAAACTCCGAATTTTTCCCAGAAAAAACTTCATTTGTCGGGCCCTGAAAACAAAAAGGGGGATAAATCATATTCCTGTATACAGTTAATTACTTCCTCTAGCACGTGGTGTAGCCGGAACCCATGTTTTGTGGGTCCTTAATACCGAAAAAACTATTGTCGGCAAAACGTCCGTCTGTCCGTCCGTCCGCTACGTTAGCGTCTAAATCGTTCAGGATTTCTTCAAAATTGATATTTCCCGATCAATCTGAACGAACTCAAGGCTTTGGGAGTTTCAAACGCGTATTTTGATTTGCAAGGGTACTTTACACGACACCGCAAAAATATTTTCAAAATGTTCTGAAAAATGGTTCCAATCTTTTTTAATAAACTACTTCCTCAGAGACGCTTAAGAAAATGGTGCAGGTCTTATGTTTGTTGAAATTCCTGATTTTTGTAAATATTGCAAAAGTACAATTTTTTGGGGAACGTCTTCCTATAACTACAATATTCAAAATATACATTTTTTTCTTAATGAAAATCTTTTCTTTAAAGGCAGATCTTAAAATGAAGTCATGTTCAATTTTTCGAAAATCGGATAGAGCATATAGTGACGGGCACTTTAAGGGCAACCAATATGTTTTATTCAATTTATAAGTGTTTATTTTAATAATAGAAAATTCATAATTGGCAAATGAATTACTACGTATATGTACGTTTATGAGGCTAGTAAGTTAAATAGTTGAACATTAAACTTTACATTTTTTAAACGTGAAACTAAAATAAGGCAGAAAATATAGAGATGGGCACTCAGAAAAAAATGGATTGTAAAATGCCCTACAAAGTCAAATATCATTGTTGAACGCAATTCTCTTGTTACTACTGATTTATTAAATTCAGTCATTTAATAAGTCTAAACATGTTACACAAACATATATTTTCGTCGTCTGAATCACTTTCCTCTACAAAATCTTTTGAGGAAAGATATGATTTGTGAAACACCTTTTGACACGATTGGTAGAACATACCATAATTCTTAAAATAGAATGTGTTTCCACACTGGATTCTGCCCTGAAGAAAATACTTCAGTGGACTTCTGAAGGGAAGACCCTTGCTGCTGCTTCTTTCCATCTTGCAAAAGCCTGAACGAGTGGTTGGCTGACCAATTTCTTTATTTATTTCACCTCCTATAAGTGTGTTTAAAACTTCAATGGATGAATATGTCATTATTTGTGCAGAGTTGACGATTATTTTCCTGACGTTAACCCGATTACTTGTTTCCTCTAGATGGTGTGTTTTCTGCTTAATGTTGATGAATATTTATGCTCTTTCTTCTCCAACAATATCGCATAATTTTTCAATGATTTGTTATGTGTGTTGTGGTTACCACCATTATCCACATTCGATGCGATGTCATTGTACATCCGCCCAAGACATTTAGTGAAATCAACGCGCACAGGGCTTCAAAGAACAAGGCAACAAGCTCTAAAACCATTTTGCAAAGTTTCTGGCTTTATTGCGCGCCCTACTTTCTCCAATGCCGGAGCGAAGTCTTTTCTAGTAAGAGCCTCAGAAGGATGGCCTCGAAGCCATGCCAGCATGCCTTTCTTCCGCGCACTCTTGATTGATTGAAATTCAGCGACATCTGCTTGTTTGAGAATTCTTGTGGCTTTTGGATACAGTACTATTAAAATAATTTGTAATTCAAAATAGAGCTCATTCGTCTGAAAAGTAAAGTGACTTTTGAGAGCGTACGCTTCCGCGGACAGCCTAGTAAATAAAGTGACTTTTGTGAACATCCAAGAAAAGAAGAGAAAGATTTCGTAGGAAGGAACAGTCCAAATCAAAAGTTTTCAAACTGAGTTCACTTGAACGAAAGGAAGAAATATCAATTACATCAGTAATATATACAACAGATTTAATTGTTCACTGTGAGAACTTCTTTCTCTTTAGAGCACCTTCATACGCCAAAATCAGTGCAATTTAATAATCTGAAATGCTTTTAATCAATTTTCATGTCGTTTTTCTTTGCGTTTAGAGCATGTTAAACACATTTTAAGGGCATTTTATCGATAATTTTTGGCGATGTTTTAAGTCATCAAAATCCATCCTTCAGTGATTATATTTAACGCCAGAACACTTATTGAAACTAATGGGCATGTTCAAATTTCAGTGATGGGTACAGTGCCCATTACTGTTCAAAATCTTTCTACATGTATACTTCTGTGTAACAAGGCAAACAATGTTCGAAAATTCAATATCAACATTACAGCAATGTATAAAAAATAAGTTGCTCAAATTATAGTGATGGGCAATCCATGTCCATCATTGCCTTGCACGTCAGAAATATTTACAGTTATGGGCACTACCTTTTTTTTTTTGCTTATGGTCTGCTCTGAGAAAGTCAAAACACACATGAAAACATTTAACATAAGATTATAACCCTGTGTGCACTACGCATAAAGCGGATTGCAAATAAAAACAGACGAATTCACTTAAATCCTCAATAACTGGAAACCTCCGCAAAAGAATCCACAACGTTTCGATGCACAGACGACACGTGGTACACCAGTAACTATTTAAGTGTACCTACCCTCACCGCTGGGCCAAATTAAATTCATATTCCGGGGTTGCAAACTTAAAGACACACACGACGCAGAGATTACATGCAGAGGATCTCTAGCTGTTTAAAAATCTTATTATTACCTCCCTTACAGTTGCTGTGTCCATCACTCTTCTGGTGCCCAAGACTGTACCACTTACCCTATGAGTAGTTTTCATGTAATATTGCGCGAAATGTAAACATTTATATTTTTTTACTATTTTTTAAAATGCGCTCAAATGTTTTCTTTACGTTATCTCCTTGTATGTATCAAAAAACTCAAAAATATGGTACTGATACATTTTCGGTGGTCTCTCCGTTTTTTAGTAAATTACAAAACCATTTCAAAACTTCATTATTGAAGGGACCGATTTTTGCCTTAAACAACGTGTTGTAAAACACCAGTTCTTTAAAACAGGTCATGTACAATTTTTTTGAAGAATAAAGTAGTTTATGCATAATATGTTCTTGAAATTAATGCAATTTATAAAAATAAAACATTTTCTCAAAAACCGCTCTAAATTTTTTCGAAGGATAGAAGGAACGCTTGTAATAATGGAACGGGTCTCATTTTTGTTGAACTCTGAATTTCAAAAATTTCAAATTTAGAAACAATTGAAGAAAGTATGCGCTGTTGTAGCTTCACTAATATATCACATCTTATACTAGTGTTTCTAAAAAGCAGTTTATTAATTACCTATATTTCGCGAAAAATTGTCAATTACAAAGAGAAAATTTGAAATTTTTCGAAAACTCAAAAATGTTAATGAGAGTTAGACAAGTTCTATCTAAAGCGTTGTCTGCGCTATTCGAAAAAAAGTTTAATAAAAAAAATGGAGCCAATTTTGAGAAGATTTTGGAAGTGTTAGGGATTCATGTAAAGAACTTCCAAAATCATAATATCCGTTTCAAACTCTAATTCGTCTCGATCGATCGGCCAATATCAGTTTTGGAGAAAATCTTCTGAACGGTTTAGGCACTTACGTTGACCAGACGGGCTGCGCGATAGACATTTTCTGACAACCACTTTTTCGGTACCAAGGATCCACAAAACTTGAATTCTTACTACTCAAAATTGGCCACGTGTTAGAAGGAAGTAATTTACTGCCTATATAGAAACAAGATTCATCTACTTTTTCAATACCCTTTTTGAAGGACTCCACAAGTTTTCTAATCGAAAAATCGCCGATTTGTGGAGCAGAATTACAATACTTTTTCTTTACTACGCAAGTACACAGCGAGAAAATGATGCGGCAAACTAAAAATTGTCGTTCTTGATTCTGTAAATGAGCAATGCTGAGTATGAGACCAAATAAAATATATTCGTTATGAAAAGATTGTCTATGATTTCTCATCATTTCATAGAGCAGTGAAAAAGTCTCAGATAGTCAAAAGTCTTGTGCGTGTAGTAAAGCAGTGCATTGAGGAGGAAACATCAGTAATATCCACTATGAGTTTCCTGACTAGTTGCTTCGGCACCTGAAACTAGAAACGACTTGATGAACAAGAAATAAGTACTGTCGACTCTAAACTATAATCGAAGTTCAGGTTCACTATAACCGAACTTCTTATGCTTATTTGAAATGTAAGTGAAACAGGACCAGTGACTTAAGTTCACTATATCGGAGGGCTCATTATAATCCAGTTCACGATAGCAAGATTCGACTGTATTTCGCAAACAAACAGGGAATGTTTCAAATTCGCAAGGCCGCGAGTTCGGCCAGGTAAGTCGGAAAATATTCTTAACACTTAAGGGCTGGTGTTGAGTTCTGACGGACGGACGGATGGACATTTGCGGTAAACCAATTTTACTTTCTCGCTAGCTCTTACGCAGTAGAGAGAGTGATATGTAATTCTGCGCAGAAAAGAGGGAATTTTGGGCAGAAAACTCTTATTGCCAAGACCTCGAGACGCAAAATTAGATAAAGCCATGCCCCCCCCCAGAATGATGTAGAGTTTTTTTAAAATTATTTAAGGTCGTATCAACATCTCGTTCATTAGCGACAGCGTGCATTTAACGGTATGGTAACTGTGAAAATGACTTGATATGGCGATGATAGGGGGAGGACGAACACAATACAACCACGCCCGAGGCGGAACTCGAACCCGCGATCCCTCTGTCCGAGATCGCTACGACACTACTGTCTTAACTACCTCGGTCATCCGGACAGGGAGCCAAGCGTTTTACTTTGTTACTTTCCTGTATTTGGTAAAATTGATTTAAATATTTATGTTAGAATTGTGGAATTATTTAAGCAATAATATTGTATAGTGCACCGAGCGAAGTGGCTGCGTACTTAGAGCGACGGACTTCGCAGTCCGGAGGTTCGGGTTCGATCACGAGGCCTGCCATCCTGACTGGGGTTTTTCGTAGTTTCCCTCGGTCACAAGTCGAATGCTGGGTTTTAAAAGGTGACGATCTTCTCTCACTTCCCACCTCCCACCCCACCGCACCTTACCTCTCATTCCTTGCAAAAAGGCAGGAGGTCCTTAATGGGATATTAGCTGGATAATAATCATAATGATGATGATAATAATAATAATTTAATATCATACATATCCTACAAAACCATATTCAACATAATAACAAATAAGTTTATTATTTAACAAATATCTGTGGTGCCCTGCCCTGCCCCGAAGTCGTTGGCTGCATCCACCCCTGCCCTTTACTGCCTTCAAAGAACGTGACTCTTGGAAAAGCGCCCGGACAGGCAAGTGGTTGTGGGTGACCACTCTGTTCATGAGATAAAACTATATTTCACCGTGCATAAATATTGAATAGTTTGTTAAGAGTGAACAAAAATTATCTGTTTCATTTCCACCGGATTGAAAGAGACGTCAAAAAGCAACTCGGGCTAAAACACCACGCAAATTACGCGGAAGTTTTCTCAAATTTTCAAAAAATTGTACGTGACCTGATTTCAAAATCTTTCTTTAAGGAACAGATTTCATAAAGAGAAAAAATCTCTATTATAATAATTTTAATTGAAGTCGCCGAAAAAATTTTGAATTTAGCAGTTTTCGAAATATCAGATTTTTAACGAAAATGAGACTTGCACCATTCTCTTAAATGTCCTTCTCACGATCCAACAACCAAATTTAATAAAAAATTATGGAACCATTTATTGAAAGTTTTGAAATTGTCTTGGGAGCTTCGTGTAAAGTACCACCAAAATTAAAATATCAGTTTCAAATTTAAGGGGTCGCGACATCAGCCAGATCGATTGGGATTATTAATTTTGAAGAAAATCTGCTGAACGGATTAGCCGCTAGCGTTCTTCACAGACGGATCGACAGATAAACGGACTGTTCATCTGTGAAGTTTTGCCGTCATTCGATTTTTTGATATCAAGGACTCACAAATAGTAGTTTATGCAATTAGTTTATAATGTTAAGCTTTATTGCATGAGTACATGCTTTGAAAACGAGCGACTTTAGAAGCGAGTTTTCAAATTCGTACGAATCTAATAAAGCAACATTATAAATGAGTTCCGTACTATATTTTTGTGTGTAGCATTATACATTTATAAGAGAATCAAACTTCATTTTGCGAAACAACTTTCCTGTGACGACTCGGGTATTTGACATCGTGCGAGTAAACGGTGGTCGGCTGTTCCGTTTAGGTCTACCCCCCCCCCCCCATTCTCTCGCTACGATTGGCTGAATGTGTGATGACGCAATTATTCGTGACATAAAATGTAATACGTCATTTGTGCCGTAAAATGCCAAATTATGAAGGATTTCTTGCAACAGAAAAGGTTCTTTTATAATGTTGGAATACAAAAAACATATCTTCTGGCTACACCACGTGTTAGAGGATTTTTTTCTAAATTTCTAAATTTGACAACTGGATTTATCCTGTTTTACGTTACAAGGGCCCTGTGGTATGAGTTTTTCAGTGGTCAATTGGCGCAGCATTGCCTACCTTTCTGTGTAGTGCGCAGGCGGAGTGGAGGAAGAGCAAGTGTGGGAGCGAGGCAGCGCGTGCGTACGAACCGTGCGAGTGCAGGGGCGTTTCCGCGTGAGCTGCGCTGCCGCCGGCGTCGTCGCTCCAAGCGGCGCCTCGCGGACTCTGGCAGCTCGTTCACGCGCCGTCGCTTTTATCGCCTTCTGCGCCATCGCAATTTGACGTCAGGAAAGTCCCTCGAGAGGCGACGGCAGAGGGAGACCTCCCTGCGAAACAAAAGAACGAAGCGTTGACAGAGGGAGGCGGGGGCGGAGGACCTCGCAGCCAATCGCGTTGCAGGAAGCCTTGTTTTGATCCACGTGAAACATTTCTTAATTTCGCATTCATCTCAGCTGCGTTAAGAAGAAAAAAAAGCGTTATTCCCTTGGTTCGTTCGGAAGCAGATGCTACAGCCTTCGAGCATCGCTTGCGAAGCGGTACAATCTGAGAGCCAAGAAAGTGGGCCTCATAGATCACTTCCACGGACGCAACGTTCTCGGCACTATGCATATTTTCTTGCAACAAATAGGGTACCACTCTATTAAAGAACTTTCGTTCGTCGATCATTGTTACAAATACTAACAGTTTGCTTTATGAATACTGTAAATAATATAACATTGTAGTCACTGGCGAATCCAGGGGGGGGGGGTTGAGGGCCATGTCCGCCCCAAAAGATCTACAGTTTTCGTTTACCTTCTTTTATTTGTCAAAATTGATATAAATGTGTATTCATGTTCGAATTATGTAATTATTTAATCAATAATATTATATAGTATTATACCTACTATGCATAAGTAATATATAATATAATAACAAATATATTTATTATTTTACAAAAATGTACGATGCCCCCTCCCCCTCAAATGATCGGCTGGATCCGCTCCTGATTGTAGTACATCATTCATCGTAATATACTAAATTCCCACCAATTAGGGACATACATGGATGAAACATGTGTGGCGTCGTTAACACGAGGGCCAGAACCGCTAGGTTGGTGAAAGTACGCTGCGGGGGAGGAAGGGGTTAAGCTTGAACATCCGGAGTTTGCGCTCTGGCGGTTGACTCATGTAGAGCCGCAGAGCCACAAAAATACCGTTGGCTGTAAACTCCGAGGATGGTAGCTAGCGTGCCTCAACCGGAAGCAGGCGAGCCAACCCAGAGAATCCAGAGTGGGGGCGTAAACCAAGGCTGGCCAGCGAGTCTCGCGCCAGCCGGCGAGCCTATCTATGGAACAGTGGTGGGGGTGTCAGCCTCAACTATTTAACGCGGCGTTATCTGCGCCCGCGTTCTCATTCAGTTTGCATCGGGAAGCTTGTACGTGTATGTACAAGGAGGGTGTAGGAGTGAGGGCGAGATGTCCGGAGAGTAAGGGCCAGACAATCTCACGTGCTGTAGGCACACGGTCGCCACGACCGGGTTAACTTTTGGCGTCAGGCCATGTGACGGTAATTGTCACGGGACAGAGGTCCGACGGCGCGCATCACGCGTGGCTTGTGTTTTCTGCGGTAAAGCAGTGTTCTGAAAGGAAAAGGTTGCCGGAGTGTTTTAAAATTAGCTATTCATTGTAACTTGTACATAATCTTCGAATATATTATTTTTATTTTGTTATTGAAATTTATTTCTTATTTCACTACGTCACACATGCATATAAACGCCTCGACATACCGACATGCAAATTTCGTTCAATTATACCTAACCATGGGGCACAATATGTGCCATTCGTAAATTTTTCATGACAAAAATTGAATGAATTTTTATTTTCTACATGAAACTACTTATATAGTTTTTACTTTTTTCTCTTACTGCGAACAAACTAAAGAGAAAGAATTGCAATCGTGCGGGTAATCGCCAATTTTTCGGCGTAAAAACTCTTAGTGTCGGACGCTGATAGCAAAAGAGCAAAAATCGTGTTCCTGTGGAGGCGGCTCCTTGGGGTAGGGAAGGAAGGCTCTACATACTCTAATGAATATGTATTCTACTAGTTTAATACTTTTTTAATAATAAAAAAATCTTACAAATTTAATTCGATGCAAGTATCGTTCATCTGGAAATGTATAGTGAACATTTCATGATCGTGGCGCGCGTATTTCCGTTTGAAGAGTCCACTAGCAATCCGTGCGCCATGCGATCTGTGTTGTCTCTTCCCGCAGGGGTGTGCACCCGCTTGCCCCTCTCCGGGTAGGCAGGCTCCAGTGCCGCCTCGCATCGCATCGTGTGTGCGCCATCTTGCTAGAGGGCGTTGGCGGTGGCCACACTTGACCGGCCAAGTCTCTTGCTGCCTGCCCGCACGGAAGACTCCGATTTCCACTCACATGCAAGCCGCGGAGCGCGCGTTTTTACTGTTTCGTTCTCTAATTAACAAGCCGAGAAAGTAAATATTATTTAGGAAGTTTTTTTTCTTTCATTTCCTTTTCTTTTTTTTTCTTTTCTCTTTTCTTTCATTTTTAACTCGTATGCTGTGGGTTATTAGTGTTACTTGATTTTTTACATTTAAATATGATTTTACGTTAATATTATGTCAGATAAGTGAATGGACCACTGCATTTACCGTTTTCTCGTCTTAACTATGTAGAAAAGATACACATTTTGGACAATGGTTGTCTTACTCCAGTGTTGGCTACGGTTGTACATCGCGCTGGCGAGAAAAATGGAAGAAAATTCAAATTTTCTTGCTATGATGCACACAAATGTATTACAGATAGTGTAGTTAAGCTAAGTATTATTATTGGACATGTCTTTTATTGTTAATTAAGGAGTGTACTTGAAATAGAGATGAACATTTTGGTATAAAAATGATCAAAAGGTGTACAAAAACATTAAATGTAAAAGATCTCTTATGTAATTCAAAGAATATTAAACGAATGGAAAAAAAAATAATGCGATTTCTGAATGTTTGTCAGAGCAAACACAAGCTCGCAACACTTTTTTAGAATCACAATATTTTGAAATCGCGCTTGCTTCATGGAAATAATGTATTGGAATGTAATGATAACAGTGAGACAGTTGTTTTAAATAAATCGAATAAAATTTCAAAAAAATTGTACTGAGGTGGGGCACCCACATACGGCCCCCATACTCCCTTCCCGGGATCCACCGTTGCTCAGTGATCTGTTTGGCCTACCCTCAACATTTGGGCTCGAGCCGCTATTGCTTACTATGCATAGTAAATTACTTTCTCTAACACGTTGTGCAGTGAGACACCACGTTTTATAGTCCCTTAACACTGAAAAATGTATTGATGGCCAACCGTCTGTCTATCCATCCTTCCGGCTATCTGGGAGGAACGCCAGCCTAAAGCGTTCACATGATTTTCTCCAAAAATGATCATCTCCGATAGTTCTGAACAAACTCGAGGCCCTGCGTGTGTGAAACGGATATTTTCATTTTTGGGATTTTTACAAAAAGTCTCGGCATTTCCAAAATTATATGAAAAATGAAAATGGCTCCCATTTTGTTATTAAACATTGTCCTCGGATAATGTAAAGAATACTTAAAAGAAAGAAGCTTAAAAAATGACACAGGTTTCATTTTCGTTGAATTATGAATTTTCAAAAATTGCAAAAGTTCAAATAATGTTCTTGCATTACAATGTTTTGCTAATTTTTGAACCCTACAGGCAAGATATCCCAACCAAACGACCATCAACAAGGTGTGCATTCAGAAATTTTTCCTCATTTAATTTCATTAGTAATAAGAAAAAACTTTAAAAAATACTTGAGTTTCTTACAGACATGACAAAGGGTGCAAAACGTAAAGTATCTTCCGCTAGAAGCTGAATATTCAAACATTAGCAAAGAAATGTAATGGACCTATCGCATATCCAATCAAATATAATTTTATAAGATAAAAACAACTTTTCATCACACATTTTGTAACAAAAATTATCATAGTTCTGAATTATTTAAATTACCAAGGGTGATCGATTTTTCAAGATTTTTACCCATTTATGATCTCTACGAACTTGAAAATTTTTGTTGAGCAACTTTTCTGTTGCTCGATTCGCAATCAATATTATATATGAATAATTCAGTTATCGAGTTTAAAAGGGCTATTCCATGGAGTGGGTTTGCTTTGTTACCCTTCTTATGGATCTAAATAATTTCCGACTCACACCAGCTGGACAGAATATTTCCAGTCTTAAGAACCATGTTACTTTAAGCGTTCAAGTAATTGCTTCAACCAGTTTGGAAGACGTCTCTTGTAACAAAGTTTGGGTATTCCGTCGGGTCCGGACGCTTTATTGTTCTTTAGTTTTGGAATGCTTATCATTAATTCTTCTAGAGCAGTCTCTTTGTTTAGAATATGATGCCTATAGTCTATATAGTTCGTTTTTTGGTTTCTCGATGTTGTTAGATATTTTCATGGAAATTTTCAATTACTTCTTTGGGTATTGTATAAACCTTACCTTTCCCCCTCTTAACTTACGTACAGTTTTCCAAAAGGTGGTACTATTCTTGATTTTATGGTAATGTGAAGTAGTTAGGTTAACGTTTTGAGTGATTTGGTATCTTTTTTTCTTTTTCCTTGGTTAGGTTAACGTAGTTCTTCCTCGACCCAATGTAATCATTTCTTCATTCCAAGTTTTTAGTTTTACACCATTGTCTAAAGTTATTTCTCGTTTCTTTGCGTAAAATACGACATTCTTTGTCATACTATGGTTCGTCTCTAGTTCTGTCTCGTTCTTTAATATGGGACGTCATTTGTAAGTCATTGGCTGATTTTTGTACAACGTTGACGATTTTACAGTTCAGAGCGTCAATATCAATAGTGTCCAAATAGGTTGTTGGTGTCTCTAGTAAATTCTGGTGGTAGTCATCTTCTTTCTCAAGTCACCATTTGAGTTTCATTTTTCTGCTAATATTGCGCTCTCTCTTGGTGTCAACCTCTTGATTTGCCATTGGTAGATTGGTTTTTCAGTGTGTATTTCAGCAGAGACTGGGACATGACCAGAAAAGCCGAAGTTTAGTTTTTGAAAACTTTTACAGCCGCACGATAGCTAGTTGATTGGTCCAAACACTGTCGATAGTACTTGAGCCTTTTTCATCGCCATAAGTGATGTCACCTACTTCATCATGTTTACTTCGTCCATTTAGTGTGGCGGGGGAGTTGAGCTGAATCATCTGAC